TTTGCTTTAAAACAATTGCAAACTTTTTCTAAGGGGTTTTTGAAGCCTGTGTCTCTGGAAACCCCCTGAAAAACCTCTGAAAAACCTTCCACGACTCACCTTTGCCACACTGCTGGAAATACCGTATGCGAAAACCTATAAAAAAGTGCTTTTGGATTCAAAAAAACTATGTCGGCAAAAAATGCCGCCTGCTCTACGAGGAAATGCCCACTGTGCTACGGTTCCCCTTAAATTTCAACCAATCGAGTAAGAGTTGAGCGGAGGTGCTCAAGGTCATAGCGCACTGGTATAAGTTTGGAATTTTATTTTATACCTTTACCGAGTTATACGGTTTCCAAGATTGAAAAACTTGGTTTGTGAGACGTTTTTCGGTATTTTTCCTATAACTCGGTAAAGAAAGGTCTAAACTGAAATCCCAAAATTTTACCACTGCGCTATGACCCGGAGTACCTGTGCTAAGATTTTTAACTCGATCAGATGAAATTTACTGGGGGTCGTAATGTGATCCAATGAAAAACCGAGCTTACTGAAAAACTGGTGAACGGCAATAGTTAAGAACTCGCAAACAAAAACGAAAAAGTATTCCACTGACTTTCCAATCAGTTCGGAAAATATGAAGCCTTAGTGACTTTTATTTCACAGCATTTCTATGAAAGGTCCAAAATGAGAGATGAGGTAACCTTAACACTTGAAACAAAAAATTTTATGCCATTAAGTAGCTCATAGACTGAAGTATATTGGACGCTATTTGAATCTCAAACAACTCCATTTTTGATTTTTATCAAAAGTCCGTGGATGATCCCCACTGTACCCAAGATCGATAGTACCAAACTCGAAAAATTAGTTAGACAATAAACACAGAGAAGCAGTTATTTTTCATATTCGATGAAAATTTCCTTTTTGTAGGATAGCGCTTTTTCTTAACTCCACGAATGATGTAGCAATAAAAAAAATCGTCCGTAGACACACTTTTCACGGATCCTCTCAAAGATTTTTCTTATTTTTCACCATTCGATCTTCTTCTTTTTTGTCGATTTAGACATGAGTTCTTTTTCTCTAGTGTGATGAGTATTAATTTCATCGGAGCGAGTGGATCACGCATAACATAACAGATAACGACATCATACATTACAAAATGTCATTATTTGTCATGGTGAAAAGAGATGAAACAAAGCGATTACATAGTAACAGTGTATTTTGTTACTTACTTATATGTACTTTTTTTCTGTACAAAAGTAGAAAGAAGAAAACTAGCATGTAACAGCATATTATGCTTTATTATTTTCTTTCTCATTCGTTTTCTTTTATAAACACGAACAACAGTAGGATATAATCCATACAATAACAACAACAAAGATAATGGTTCTTAGTGGATTTGAATTAACATACCCTTATTTAATACAACGACATAAAAATTTATATACATTAGAATTTTCATTTTGTGGATTTTGTAGTCTTCAGTTTATTCGTATGCCAAGTCGTATGACAATTATTTGTATACCATCATTGATAACAACAACACCATCATCTTTAATTATAATATCACCATGTGATCCGTTAGATAAAGTACGTGAACTATTGAATGAATTAGGACAAGTGAAATATATATGTTTATCAAATCGTCATCATTGTTATTGGGCTAAAAAATTTCATTCATATTATCCATTATCAACTGTTCTAGTAACACCGGGTCTACAAAATAATGAATATACAAATCATTTAATAAATGATAATAAATTATCGGATATTGCTAATTGGCCATATGAACATTTATATTATCGTTTTATACCTGGTATGCCATTGTTAGATGAAGTTGTTTTTTATCATCGACAATCACAGACATTAATTGTAACAGATTTAGCATTTAATTATTATCATGATAATGAGAGAGATAATGCTAATAAACAAGAAAATAATGATTATGTATTAAATAAAACAAGTTTATTATTAAAATTATATTTAACATTAGCTGGTGGACGTCGTCGTTGTTGTTTATCATATCCATTTCGTTTAATAATTAAAAATATTCGTCAATTAAAATTTGAACTTGACTATGTTATATATAATTGGAATATAAAAAATTTAATAATGGCTCATGGACATCCCATTATGAG